GCTCATGGCTGCGAAAATACAAGGAAAAGCTGTATTAACGTTTATGCACGAAATGTGAACGATCGATCATCGAATCTGCCGGAACGGTTTACAGTAGTTTGCACTATCGGTCACCGATCGCGCGTCTGACATATGACATCCCGCTCTACTAGCTTCCAATAACGTTGCGGTTTTGTTTATTTTAACTTACTGAACCGTTCCGTGCTAAATTTTTGCAGCGAGCTCGTCACGGGTCACGTAAGATTCATAACGTCAAAGGAACAGTTTGGATAAACGATTTTTCCAATAAAACCGAATTATATTAAAAATCGAATCGTTTACATCTTGCAGTGATTTTCGCGTGTACCGATCCTCGCACGATCTGATTAACCGACTAGCATATAAATTGTTGAAATGTGGATATAGAATGTGTGATGAATATATGAATGTGTGAAAATATGTGGTAACGTTACGTAACGAATGAAATATCGAAGAGATTTTGCGAAGATTTGAAATCTTACCAAAGCAACGAACCTTCGAAGAAAATCTTCTATGAGAAAGTCACCGGGTTGTCTCACCGCGATTTCATGCGGACAATGTTGGCGTTGGGTATTGCGCAGGATTTGCACGTCCCTTTCTCCGAAAGGCGGTAGGGCTATATCCTACCGTCCAATTGCGCAGGACCCGGCCTCTCTGCACGGCCTTAGATCATTGATCCAAATTCTGGCTAGCCAACTAGAAAACAGGACGTAAAACGCTTATTCTCGGTTATCGATTTCGATACGACTAATCGCGCGCTTATGGATCGAAGCTAGAGGCTATAGATCAAAGACACCAGAGAGGAACGTCCTGCGATCTCTCGTAAAATGAAAATAAGAGAATAAAACTTGATCGCAAGGACGGTACGAACGGTCAAAGGTTCGAAATGAAAATAAGCGACGGCACCCCACTGTGCGTCGGCACTGCGGTCTACCCCCTAGTAACAACCCCCTCCTGCAGACCACCCGAATACGCATATACGATCGATAGGAAAATCCATACGCTCGAATTTTCACATTTTCGCGGGCTGTAAAGGTGTCTCTTACCTCTTCACGCGGTACGTTCACTCGCGGCTTCTATCCTATTTCGCGCTCCGGAAACTGTAATCCTTCAGAGAAAACTGTGTTGAGGAAAGTAAAGATCTAAACCGGCGATCGCTTCCCGTACGTGGCGGGCACGTACAGAGAAGAGAAAAGAGGAAGCAAAGCAAGCACCGAAAAAAATGACAGCGACGGGAGACCGTGTCGGGTACAGTGACAGCAAAGATCCGAATGGGTAATTTGGAGAGGCACTGAATGAACGCGGCTCGAACAAACGTGTCTGTTAGACGAACGACCACGGTGTCCCGTGTCGTAACTAGTTTCTTTTCTTCTCTTACAATTAGAATGGCTTTTCTCCCTAATGTTACGACGGCAACACTCGACTCGGCAGCAACACTCGCGTTGCGGGCTGCCGGCTCTCTGACCAACTTTGCGATATCCTGCGTCGCTGCCACGCAAGCCACCCCTTCTCTTATCTACTTCCACTATCCCCACTAGCGATGCGCGCCGACTCGATTTTACTTGCACTCGCGCACTTTAAACTCTTTCCTACCACCGCACCGTTTCGTCGATCTGCCATCTATACGCGCGCACGCGCCTATACACTCGCATGTCACTATACGTAGCGGTGCACCTGCTACACCGATGAGAACGTACACTTTACTGAAAGTGTGTTTTTTTTTCAAATTTTTGGGTTTTCGGATTTTGGGTATGGAGATATGGGATGTGAGAATTGAGGGATTTGGGGGTTTTTAATTTTGGGGGGTTTGTGGGAGTTTGAGGATTTATGGGAAAGGGAATTTGGGAATTTGGGAAGTTGAGAAATTAGGGGTTGGGGATTTAGGGGTTGGGGATTTAGGGATTGGGGATTTAGGGGTTGGGGATTTAGGAATTGGGGTATTAGGGATTGGGGAATTAGGGATTGGGGAATTAGGGATTGGGGAATTAGGGATTGGGGATTTAGGGATTGGGGAATTAGGGATTGGGGATTTAGGAAATTGGGGAATTAGGGATTGGGGAATTAGGAAATTGGGGAACTAGGAATTGGTGAATTAGGAAATTGGGGATTTAGGGATTGGAGAATTAGGAAATTGGGGAATTAGGAAATTGAGGACTTAGAAATTGGGGAATTAGGAATTCGGGATATAGGAAATTGGGAAATTAGGAAATTTGAGAATTAGATATTGGTGAATTAGGAAATTGGGGATTTAGGGATTGGAGAATTAGGAAATTGGGGAATTAGGAAATTGAGGACTTAGGAATTGGGGAATTAGGAATTCGGGAAATAGGAAATTGGGAAATTAGGAAATTTGAGAATTAGGAAATTTGGGAATTAGGAAATTTGGGAATTAGGAAATTCAGGAATTAGAAATTGGGGAATTAGGAATTGGTGAATTAGGAAATTGGGGAATTAGGAAATAAGGAAATTAGAAAATATGGGAATTAGGAAATTCGGGAATTAGAAATTGGAGAATTAGGAAATTAGGAACTTTGGAATTGGGGAATTAAGCATTGGGGACTTAGGAATTGGGGAATTAAGCATTGTAGAATTATAAATTATGAATTCGATTCCAATAAACTTGCATCTATGCAATCAAAATTAAAAATTCTCCTCCCAAAAGACCCAAATTCCCACCCCCAAAAATTGTTACCTACAAACATCACCAAAGTCAACATTCCCAAATAAATATAGTCAGATATAAATATAGGGGAGGGGGTAAAGTAGGTCTACATTGCATCGAAGTGTACATCAAGTAGCACCATACACGTATAGAAGCGTAATCAGATGAGAGCGTGCGCGTGCGCTCGGTCACATCGCCGCGTCATCGAAAAGTCGCAACGTAGATCCCATTTACCTCCACACGCGCTTCTTCGACAACGCGTAAAGCGTTGTGCACGTACGTGAGAAGGTGCATACGCGTGTACTTGTACATATATAGATGCGACTGACTGACTGACTAACACGGACAGCAAGCCGGCCGGTACGACGTCAGAAAACGCCGGTTAGGTATCGGAAAAAAGGACTTGCACCGGAAACGAGGGAAAACGAGAATCGAGACACGACAATAGTCGCTCTGCAGTATACGGGTGCAGCAGACATTTAGGAGAAAATGTTACGAGGTGAAATAATGACCGACTGAAGAGCACGCGATCTATGACACATGCCGGCCGGCTGATCTCAAATTAAACGATCTCACTAAATTCTTCCCTGATAATACTTAACACCCTTGTGGATCCTAATCGTTGCTTGCAAGAAAAGCTTCCTTGCAGGAAAATCGATGGAAAAGAAAAGACAATGGCCTCGAGAATTATCGGCACTTAACAAACGTATACTCATCCTAGTATTGGCACGGGCATAGAATATTAAATAAACCGAAGGATGTTCGTAATTTAATTTCCTTTCGAAATGGACTTTCTTACAATCCGTATAAATAAACTGATAAAAATTTTATTTCACCGTGAATTGTAAAGGAGCGATGTATTTTATAGTTCACGCTGATGGGGGTACAAACAGGGTACAATGCACCGATGAGTGCTCGTCATATAAATTTGTCGCAATGCGGAAGGTAAGAATCTGTTCTCGCGATTCCGCGCGTTCGATTTAGCCGAGATAATTCCGTCCTCCTAATCTTTTTAATCTTTCCACTAATTTATTCGACGACGTAAAATCGTCGATCGAAAAATTCGTCAAACATTCAGACATTCTTGAGTTAGATGTTTGTTTTCGTTTTAACGCATTCGAAATGGAAGAAGGAAAAACGTGGAAACGATCGTGCCGTCGCGTCGGTCGGGATCAATAAACTCTTCCGTGATACAGGATTTTCTGATACTTCCGTCTGCTGCAACTTTTACAATTTAAAAATCTACATTAAACGTTTAACGAAAGAATGAAGTCTGAAGTTCTCACGCGTAAAAAGGATCTCGAAAAATAATGAATTTAGAGATGTTACGTCGCAAGGCTTAAAGCCATACCTAAAAGCTGAGTCTCATAAATTCCGGATTAACTCTTTATGTACACTTTAATTTATACTGTTCTTTTAAAATTATCATGTAAGGTAAAGTCGATTTATCGATTCGTCAATTTTTCGATTACCGCATTGCATCGCAAGATCCAGTCCTGTAGCTACGGCATCCCCTTTAGAATTTTTCAAAAGTGCCCCGCGTTTCGTGAATATTGCACGTCCAACTTTTCCAATCCCCTTCGATACCCTCCTGAAACTTTTAGCAGTCTCCCCCCTCGTGGATCACCTTGATTCGATAAATTTTCTGGGGGTGCACGATTTTTGAGGAAAGGGGGTTGCAAAAATGTTACGTAATTTTTTTGGAGGAAGATTAGTGTATCAGTTTTATTAGCCTCCCCTTTGTGGATCAACTTGATTCGATAAATTTTTGGGGGTGCACGATTTTTGAGGAAAGGGGGTTGAAAAAAATGGTACTTAATTTTTGGGAGGAAGATAAGTTTGTATCAGCAGTCTTATTGGCAGTCTTCCTCTTTGTGGATCACCTTCATTCCATAAATTTTTAGAGGAAGCACAATTTTTGGGGAAAACGGGGTTGAAAAAAAATATCAATTAATTTTCAGGAGGAAGATTATTGTATCAACAGTCTTCTCGTTCGTGGATCACCTTGATTCCATAAATTTTTAGAGGAAGCACAATTTTTGGGGAAAACGGGGTTGAAAAAAAATATTAATTAATTTTCAGGAGGAAGATTATTGTATCAACAGTCTTCTCCTTCGTGGATCACCTTGATTCCATAAATTTTTGGGGAGCACAATTTGTAGGGAAAACGGTCTTGAAAAAAAATGTTAATTACATAATTTTTGAGAGCAAAATAACTTTATATCAGCAGTCCTATTAGCTTCCCCCTCGTGGATCGCCTTGGTTCGATAAATTTTCAAGAAAGCACGATTTTTGGGGGAAACGGAGTTAAGAAAAAATGTTAGTTAATTTTTGGGAGGAAGATAAGATTGTACCGTTGATACTTTCACGTATTCTGGTATTTTAAATGCATCGGGGTACAAGGTGGAATTTTCACGGTACTGGCCATAGTGCGCGGCGCTAGTATTGACCGGTGCCCCTTACTAACCGTGTCGAGAATATCAGAAACCAAAATATATCTCGATTCTGATACTACCTGTTTCTCGTCATCGTAATGACAATCCGATGTGCCTGTGACGTAGGGAAATGTGTGCACGCGAGACGTCGCGTCGCGCCGCTGCGACGCATGACGTTTTGCTGCACCGTGCACGTGTTTAGTGTCAGTGAACCTTCGAATTTTTATTAAATACGATCAAAATATTCTCTACGTGTTCAGAAAAATTCGCAGCATAGAAGCGAAATTCTCGAGAACGAAAATTCTCAAGTCCGAGTGAGTACATATGTACTGTAATTCTTAACGATTCATCTTAGCTCTGCATTCGTCTTGAAACTGTTCCACTTCACTGGCACGAGAAAAGTACTCGTACTTTTTGCAATGTAACTACATATATGTTTAATGAAATTTATACATAACTCTTTTATACATATTATGAAAGAATAATATTAAAAAGATAAATAGAAAGCTTAATAGCGTTCGTTGTTATGAAAAAGCAGAAGCAGTGGAAGATTTAATAGCATTCATTACGAAGAATTAATTGCATCCGTTTAATTAAATGCAAAATCCGTAATATGCCTCGTGTCACATATTTAACGATACTTTTCAGTGTAAGGCCCGTGGCCTCCTTTTGCAGATTTCAAATTCCTCATCCGCGATAAAGCAGCTTCGACCGCGCTTCTTTTAACGTCTGAACGAGCGTTAACCAATTGTTCGGCCGCCTACTTTCTCCGGCCAATTTAAATTTAATCGAAACGCTCATTGCATTCTACCTCGATCGCAAAATTATGTACGAAATGATTTATCATGAACGAGCTTAAACTTGATTTATTGTAAACCGTTCTGATGCTTCTGTCGGTGTTTATTTTTGATGTTATGTAGACAAATCTTATGGTACCACATGAAATATATATATTAAGGAAAGTATGTGGGCCAAAAAGACGAAGTTTATCGAAAACGGCAGGGTTGGGCGTTTACGAGGCGCCACGACGACGGCATCTCATCGATCTGACTAGCCGAATACCGCAGCCACTTACAATATACACAGACTGTGTATAGCCGTGTCATAGAAAATCCACGTATCCGCAGAGAGAGCCAACCACTGCAAACAGCATACACGTCCTTAGCTCGTATATCTTCCTAGTACTTTTAATCACACGTGCGTTTTTAGAGCCAATATAGAAATACGTGACATGCCAAATTATTTCCTGCGGAATCTTTTCTTTTGTCTTCATTGATCATTTCAGATACCAGCATTCGTTCGGTAAATTAAATCCATAACAATGTAAAAATAAAAATAAAATAGGAAATATATCTCTTTGGTAGTAAAATAAATTGTTGGGAAAATTAATTAATTTTATAAGGAACTTTGTATTGGGATTCACTTATACTCCCTCATCAACCTTTGAGACAGTTCGCACGTGAGACTCGACGGATACAGTCGGGTACTCGTGATGACGGTAAACGATAGTGAAGACCGATAATTACGTCCTAATTTTTTACCCCAACGAAGTATCGAGTTGACATAAATCAATAACCGAACATCTCTTTTTCGTTTTACGTTTCGGGGGTCTTTAGAACCCTTTACCATTTTCCTGGTAACTGCCATACCTACTGGGACCGATCAGAGAAATACATCACTTTTGAGAGGAATTAAAATTTAAAAAAAATCGGCATGTGTTATCAATCAAATTTTGCTAATAAATTTTTTCTTAAAGATGTCAATATTTTTTCCGGGGAAAAGAAAAATTTTTGTCGTTCCCTGTATCATCGACCAGGTGTATGCAAATTTTTCTGAAGACATAATTTGTATCTTTGGAACCACAAAATATATTACAAATAGCGTAAAAATCAATATCAATAAATATTTAATGAATACATAGCATATTAATCAATAAAATCAATATTAATTGGGGGTTCACAAAAATCGAACTTGTAGCGCCATCTCTCCGGCGAACAGGGTGAACTACACGCTTTTGAAACTGCGCTTTAATTAGTTCTAATTTTCTGCACTAGAGGGCGCTTTAGTGGCGCCATCTCTCCGGCGAACGGGGTGAACTACACGCTTTTGAAACAGCGCTTTAATTAGTTCTAATTTTCTATACCAGATGGCGCTTGTGGCGCGTGAAAGCGCCCCCTAGTGTCGAAAATAGGAACTAATTAAAGCGCCGTTTCAAAAGTGTGTAGTTCACCCCGTTCGCCGGAGAGATGGCGCCACTAAAGCGCCCTCTAGTGCAGAAAATTAGAACTAATTAAAGCGCAGTTTCAAAAGCGTGTAGTTCACCCTGTTCGCCGGAGAGATGGCGCTACAAGTTCGATTTTTGTGAACCCCCAATTAATATTGATTTTATTGATTAATATGCTATGTATTCATTAAATATTTATTGATATTGATTTTTACGCTATTTGTAATATATTTTGTGGTTCCAAAGATACAAATTATGTCTTCAGAAAAATTTGCATACACCTGGTCGATGATACAGGGAACGACAAAAATTTTTCTTTTCCCCGGAAAAAATATTGACATCTTTAAGAAAAAATTTATTAGCAAAATTTGATTGATAACACATGCCGATTTTTTTTAAATTTTAATTCCTCTCAAAAGTGATGTATTTCTCTGATCGGTCCCAGTAGGTATGGCAGTTACCAGGAAAATGGTAAAGGGTTCTAAAGACCCCCGAAACGTAAAACGAAAAAGAGATGTTCGGTTATTGATTTATGTCAACTCGATACTTCGTTGGGGTAAAAAATTAGGACGTAATTATCGGTCTTCACTATCGTTTACCGTCATCACGAGTACCCGACTGTATCCGTCGAGTCTCACGTGCGAACTGTCTCAAAGGTTGATGAGGGAGTATAAGTGAATCCCAATACAAAGTTCCTTATAAAATTAATTAATTTTCCCAACAATTTATTTTACTACCAAAGAGATATATTTCCTATTTTATTTTTATTTTTACATTGTTATGGATTTAATTTACCGAACGAATGCTGGTATCTGAAATGATCAATGAAGACAAAAGAAAAGATTCCGCAGGAAATAATTTGGCATGTCACGTATTTCTATATTGGCTCTAAAAACGCACGTGTGATTAAAAGTACTAGGAAGATATACGAGCTAAGGACGTGTATGCTGTTTGCAGTGGTTGGCTCTCTCTGCGGATACGTGGATTTTCTATGACACGGCTATACACAGTCTGTGTATATTGTAAGTGGCTGCGGTATTCGGCTAGTCAGATCGATGAGATGCCGTCGTAGTGGCGCCATCTCTCCGGCGAACGGGGTGAACTACACGCTTTTGAAACAGCGCTTTAATTAGTTCTAATTTTCTATACCAGATGGCGCTTGTGGCGCGTGAAAGCGCCCCCTAGTGTCGAAAATAGGAACTAATTAAAGCGCCGTTTCAAAAGTGTGTAGTTCACCCCGTTCGCCGGAGAGATGGCGCCACTGGCTCCATTTTCGAGTTGCCCTATATATCGATACTATATCGATTTATGCGTCGAGATACCGCTCCAAAATGCCGAGCGAAGATACATTTTGTAAACAAATGCGAAAAGCGACAAGAGAGATTCATAAAATCAGTGACTCTTTAGTGAATGCAAAATTAGCAGTTGGTAAGAAAAATGTGTATGAATTTGACCTCTCTAGCTTTTCTTATAATTTCATAACTTATAGGTTAATATTGACACTTATGTTGCTCTCAATTTTTTATCTTTACGTCATATTTCATTTAAAAAAGTATTTATCTTGTGAACAAGTATTTATCTTACTACATAATGTACATGATGAATCTTACACTTTTCATGAGACCAAATAGTGTAATTTTATAAGAATGATGTGTTAACATTAACACTGGTCTTGAACAGGTCTTTTTGATGATTCCGTGTGGGCAGATGGCCTGCTGATTTTTTATGAAATATTTCGATATTTGGAATCCGCTATGATTAGATGGAAGCATACCAATGTAGGATTATTTTTAATCGATGACCTATCTCGCACAAAAGCTTTTGAGAGTGATCTTGATTATTATTTAGGAAAAGATTGGAGAAAAGATTATACCCCTAGGTATGTTTCATGCATTGATATTTGTGTATAGATAGTTGTGAATATATTTGCTAGTAAATAGCCTATGAAATATAAAAGATACAGACATCTGAAAGTTGCTACTTGTTTATAAACTTTAGGGAGAGTGTTGCTAAATATCTGATGCACTTGCAACAAATAGAAAATGAGGACCCAACATTACTAATAGCATACATTTATCATCTGTATATGGGACTTCTGAGTGGTGGAATCATTTTACGTAAAAAAAGGCACCTTATGCAAAAGATTTTCCCACGAAAAGAATCTCAGACAGATGGTAATAATGTAACAGACTTTCCAAATAGTAATATATATGAACTAAAACAACGCATGCGGGATACAATGAATAAAATTGCAGAAACCTTAGATGAAGATATGAAAAATAAACTTCTTGAAGAAAGTAAACAGGTCTTTGTTTTAAATAATGAAATTATTAAGAGTGTGAGAGGTGTAGGTAATTCTTTGTTAAAGAAAGCAATGTATTTTATTATTGCTGTTATGTTGATTCTTTTTGTTTATCTTATTATTTTCAAGTAATATACTAGATTTTTTACATCTGTTACCTAAAATAATATACATAAGTTCAGCAATTATACTACTTAGAAAATAAATTTCTATTTTACAACAAATAGATCAGGGTTTTAAACATTTTATGTACATATGATGCCATTAAAAGTTCAATTCGTTATGTTAAATATAGGTACTTGTAAAATTAAGAGATGTATAAATTGTATGTTCCAATACTTTTTCATGTTAAAAACGGTTTTTTATAGCCATTTTTTGTAGCATATTTTGTAAATATAGAAAATGTTTAGTCCTTGTATATTCGGGATATGTGATAATAGTAATAATATAATAAATGAAAAAAAAAGAATGCATATTAATATTATTATTGTACCAGATAAAATCAGTTAAAAACAAAGTACAGTTCAATGAGAGACTATTGAGATCGCATGTAAATATTTAAAATTATATTTAATTCTAAATTTCCGTACGCGACACTTCACAAATGTATATATTATACAGAGATTTAGTACAGCTATGAGTATGAACTCATTGAGTATTACACTGTTCCTTCCCACGTTTCCACGTCTCTACCACGAATCATTTAAATAAAATTTTATAAACAATTAAGTATTGCCTGTTTATCAAACTTAAAATGTGCCCAAATCATTGAACAAAATTCCGTAGAACGGTGATTACATTCATCGGGAAGAAAATGCGACATCTTATGGTTCATTATCATCAATGGAGAAGGTATTGTTTTCAAATCTGCTTTGTTGAATTGTATTGTTGCTTTGTTAAACAACAAAGATTTTATATTTCCTTTTGAAAATTCTGTACTTTGAAGTTCATCCGATGATTGATCTAAGAAAAAAGTACAATACAATAAATATATTATGTTTGAAAAGAAAAGAATAATTATATTTTAAAATGTTCAACCTTTCACTTCCTTAGCCAAAGCTTGAGCTTTATAGCTAAAATCGTTGCATTTCACTGACTGAATAGCAGGATCCATTAAAAATGTGCAAGGTTGTTGACCTCGTGGACTATCCGTTAATTGTTTAGCAAGAACAGCTGATGGTTCATCTTCATTTTGTTCACCAAATAAATTACGTTTAATTGCTGCTTTTGATACGATATTTTTATTATCGTATGTACCGCGACGATTTCGCGCAGGTGATGTGTTAGATTGTCGAAAGTTTTTAACATCTTTAAAACTTGTAATATCATTCTGGATACAAGTGCATAAATACTCATTAATGATATGTGTAAATATAATACCTCCAATAGTAAATTTTAAGTACCTGAACAGAATGAGAAAGTAATTGCTGTTGCCTCTTGTTCTTTGAGACAGTTTCAACATCTCCAAGAGATCTATGCCTGTGTCTTCTCACAGTGTTTACATTTTTCTCTCGCAAATGCTTTTCTTGTATCCAACGTCTCATTCTCCTACATAAAAACCATTGCATTTTAACGCTTGTTTCATTAATTTTTTTTCCATCTATTCAAACATTCTTTTATTCTTTTCAATTCTGTATCATCATGTATCTAATATAAGTGCTACAAACAAATTTGAGAACAAGCACATTAAAAGAAACTACATTTTACCTCACAAAGGGAATAACCATAAAAAATGCATTAGGACCAACTCCTGTCTTTACTTTTGGTGTCATGTCTTTCTTATTATTGGGTAAGTCAGCTAAAGAAAACCACTCTACATTTTTTATTTCTTTCCTTGTTTTTGGTTGAAACTTTGTATCTTTCTGAACACCACATATTATATATAATCTCACTAATTGTTCATTTATCACTGACTCTATATATTCATTTTCATCTATTAAATTTGAAATGTCAAAACCAGTTTCTTCTAAAACTTCTCGAACAGCACAATGAGATGGATCTTCATCCTCGTTGACTTTACCTTTGGGAAAGCTCCAACTACTCTTTGCCCAATAACTTTGAACTAATAATACTTTTGTTAAATCTTCATTTAATACAATTGCTCCAAATGTTGGAACATTCTGTTTATATTCTCGCCATTGCTCAAGAATATTATCTATGTTAGCTACATGTGGTTTTAAAAATGGTATATGATAAAAAATGTGTGTGGCAAATTCTCTCATGCTACATGGTCGTAACTTTGGATTTTCATCAGTACAATAAAAGTCCAAATAAAACCAGTGAGCTAATTCAATTTGAAAACATATCCTGACTAAATCTTTTCTTTCTTCTTCGGGCACGTTGATAATAAATCGACTGAAAACATTAGAAAGACGCTCCGTATAAAAAAAGGTTCGCAGTATCTCAAAATTAATGTTTGTAACATCAAACGCATAAACATCAATAACAAATACACGTTTTCAAAAAATAATTAATAAGAGCTAACCTGCTTAAATCATCTAGAATATCGGATGGTATCGTATGCTCCATCACTTCAACAATAAATCAAATAATTTAGCTATTTATTACACGCCACCACGACCTTTATAATATAATTTTTTATCAGATAACCCTGTGGTTATCAAGTAAGTACCCAAACATTATGTGTAATATGTTATTGCATACAAAACAGTCAACTCCAACTTGTCTAGTTATTATACTAATGTCATTTGGTCTTTTTTTTTTAACTCTTGCCATCTGACGTTTGTTACAATTCAACGAGGTATTCCCCTAGATTACGAATGATCATGAATTTGGTCAAAAGTGATGAACATAGCTAATACGTAATTTTGATCTTGTATGGCGGTAAATGTTAATGTATTTATGTGTTCGATTTAATACAGAAATAAATGTACTCGTCTGAAAGATACAAAAATGAGTTTGTTTCAAAACAACACTGTTTAACGATATGTTGATTAACTGTCATTAAGATTTGTGCGCATTAAAAACTAATGAAAGGAATTTCGGCAAAATGTTTTGGAGCTAACAAACAGGTTAACGAAAACGCAGTGTATCTGCAAACAGACTAATTGTTTTCAAACAAAGAAGATGGAATCAAATAATATTTGTCAGTTTATATTAGAGCGTGTTAATAATCCGGCTACAGTTCTTCTTGATAAACCAGGACACACAGTACGTACATAATACTTCTTATCAAATCACTGATAATACTTTATTAATAAAAATAGTAATAGACTAAATGGTTCCGCTTTCAATTCTTGTAAAGTTGCATTATAAATAAGTGTAGTTAATTCATGTATATAAACCTGTTTTATTTTACTTTGTTTTAGTACACTTGTGGCAGAGCCAAAGATAATCAAATAGTATGTCTTAGTTTGACAGTGTCTCGACATCATTGTATTTTTTTCCATGGCAAAAATGAATTATATGTTACGGATTTAAAGGTATGTTTGTGTTAAAAGCTACAGTAAAAATTAATATGAAATAAAAATACTTTTATTACTGAGTAACCTTTTCATTTTTAGAGTTCTAATGGTTTGTTCATAAATGGAATTGCACAAACACCATTTCAAACAACTAAATTACAATTAAATGATGTTATTGGTATTGGTTGTCCAGATGTTGCTGTTACAGACAATTCTATGTTTGCATACAAATTACGCATGGTCAATGTAAGATGTTATTTCAATACATTGGATACTAATTATTTCCTACCTACTTAATAAATTTCTATATTCTAGACACCACAAACATCTGAAAACAACCATAATAACACTCCCGTTTTAGAAACCATATCAGATTTTGCAAATACAGCTACTACAAAGACTGATGCTGTAATTAAACGTAAAAGGGATGAAAAAAACCATGACACAAAAGTTTTACCAAATAAAATCCCGAAATTGGAAAATGAAGTTTCTATTTTAGAAAAGAACTCTTTTAAAGGTAATTTCATTTTTATTTGTATTATTTGATATAGTAATAAATATGACTTAACTTGTCATACATAAATATTGTTCAAATTTTAGATAAGTGTAAAATAAGCGATGAAAATGATATTGAAGTAATTCATGTTTCATTAAATAACAGTACAGTGGATAAGAATAGCAGTCATCATGAGTCTTTAAAAAATAATGCATCAAATGATACACCAAATGTAAGTAAGCAAAATACAAAAGAGGTTGAATCATCCTCACATTGTGAGATGGAAAGCAATATGCAAGAAAAAGAGAATTCCGTTGCTATGTGTAAAGATAAGAAACAATTACATAAAAATGTACAGAATGCAGAAAATAATCATGTTCCTAGTACACACTTTAAAAGTGTTACAAAAGAAAATGACGAAAACATTCAAACTAATTTGAAAGATGCGAATTCTAATGCGAATCAAACGTCCAAACAATGCAACAAAGCAGATAATAATACAAACGAAAGCAAAACATTAGATAAGATTGAAAGTACAAATAGACTTAGTACTCAAAATAACGAATTTAAGAGTCCCACCACACTACCTCCAAATTTTATAACTAACGGGGATACTATAATTAAATTAGAAGATGAATTACAATTAACAGATACTGATGAAGAAGTTTATAATACTTTGTATCAAAATCAACTTCCAGCTGTATCTCCAATAAAACTGAAAAAGGTACAGCAAGAACCAAAAACACAATTTTCAGAAGTTGATGTTGTCAACTTAAGTGATAGCGAGGATGATATTTTTCCATGTTCTCAATTATTTGATCTTAAATTTGGTATGAATACCTCAGTCAAAGATGAAGTTAAAGAAGAACCTACAGAAATAGAGAATGAAAGATTCAGTATTCTTGATGATGCAGAGTTAGTTATCTCATTAACAGATAGCGAAGATGAGGATAGTAATTGGTTACATAAATTATCTAGAAGTCAGTTGCTCAATGAAGAAGATGAAATAGATCTAATAACTAAAGATCCTGATGTAAAGAAAGAAGATATGGATATAGAAATTATTGATAATTCAAACGAAATTGTAACAAATATTGTAACAGAACAAGAAACGGAATTAGAAAAATCTATAGACAAAGAAAAAGATACATCATTACAAGATACAGATAATGTACTTAAAATGCATGTACCAGATTTTACTGCAGAAAAAATGGATATTGACGTTGAAGATTTCAATAAAGAAACAGTAGAATCTTCAACTAGTACCGCAGAGACTAGTAGGAAAGAAGTTGCCGAATCTGCGAACAATCAGAATTTGCATCTAACTGAGAAAGAAACAGAAAGTCGTACAAATGCCTCGGGTCCCAGTGCAACAAAAATTACGCCTTTAAAAAGACAAAAGTCGCTTGAAAAGAAGGTGCCTCAAATTGAGCCACCTCATTTACCTACTGGTAGACGAAGCAGTAGTTCTAACACGCTGTTGGAAATTCCTGCAAAACCTATGAAACAAAAGTTGAGTGCTAAAGAGAAAAAAGAACAACAAGAAAAATTAAAGATAGAAGAACATTTGCGCATGAAAGAGGAAAAGAATCGTAAAATAATTCATAAATGGGCCAATTGTCTACCACCTACTAAAAAGAAAGCAAGTACTGCTACCAAAAAAGAAAATATAATAAGTACTCTTAGTAAAGAAGAAAAGAAAGCATTAGCAGATTCCAGAAAAATGAAACTAAAAAAGATTGCTATGGAGGAAAAGCGATCGTCGTTGGATGATAATCAAGATAAAAGACGTGTTGTTTCAAAACCAAAAGCTAAAGTAACAATGAAGTCACGAACTGACTTTTTGGTCGCAGAAACAATTTCTGCGTCTAAAGTAGAAGAAACAATAGAAAAACCTAAGACTTCAAGTTCAAAGACGAGTAAATCTTCAAAAAGTAAAAGTATTCCTAAAGAAATATCAACGCAGTTTCAACGTTCATTGACGATCAATGACATAGGTAGAATACCAAAAAAAAGTAGTGCAACTAAAGCAAAAGCAAATAATGCACCACAAGCAATACCACCAGAAGTTCAATTGGGAAACGACATAGAAATAATACTAGATACGAATCGAAAAGAAATAGAGTCAAGCGAGAAGCCAAGATCAGAGTCTACATTAATACAGAAGGAATCTAATTTGGTTCGTAAGTCATGCATGAGAACATCACCTAAAAAACAAAAGAAACGAGTATCTTTTTCTGCAAACTTGAAGAGTGTACATGTATATCAAATAGATCAATCAAATGTTTTGAAAAAATTGGTAGGTAAAGATGCGCCTATACCCATTGAAAAAGTTTCAGTAAAGAAACCAACAGGCTCAACAGAATTTAATGCAAAATTAAATGAATTTTTATCCCGTATCTTCACATGGAATCCAATTTGGCTGGAGGAACAGCAGTATTTAAGTATTCCTGCGCCTGTTGTGAGAAACGAAGAGATTCATGTAATGTTGACGCATTATAAATCATACGATGACTACTATAATATTCTTGCACCGCTTCTGCTACTCGAAACGTGGCATTCGATAACTAAAGAATTTCAGAATATGGAACAGAATTATAGGCGACCGACATTAATGTGTTCTGTAGTTGAAAACTCCGTTCAAAGAAATGTTGTTTCAACAAATGTAGTTATGACAACTCTGATGCTAGAAGTGTTAGCTTCGAAAGACGATATACATAAACAAACTCAACCAGTTTTTGGGGATTTAGTATTTTTTGAATACGTTAAAAATCATGAGAAGGGACAAACGTTTCATAAAATATTTGCATACGTTACAAATGTACATGAAACAGTATTAACTCCCATGACTCGTTACAATAAGGATCTAAGGAATTATGTAAAAAACCCTCATTCGTTATTAACGTATACTATGAAGACAAAGCCGCTTGATAACAATATTCCAGTAAATCGAGTTCAACGATTAAGAACTGTAACTTATTTACGTCCTAGTTTAAGATTGGTACAAGCTTTACAGCATCTACCAAATTCGCCATTAGGAGATTTAATTTTAAATCCAAAAGTCGAGATGTATCAGCTACCAAACGTATCTGAGAAAGAGGCATTAATTACTGGAGATAAGTTAAATAAAAAACAGTGTGAAGCCGTTTACAAAGTAACTGAGGCCGTGGTACAAAAAGTTGCAAAGTTATGTTTCATTCAAGGACCACCAGGCACTGGCAAATCAAAAGTTATTGTAAATATTGTCACCCAGATATTATATGGAAACAATAGATATGTAAATAACAAAAGTTCATTGAGGATCTTAGTCTGCGCACCATCAAATGCTGCTATCGACGAAATTGTCCTGAGACTGTTAGAAATCAGATCCAATATAAAGAACAAAGGAAAAATGAAACCCTTTAAAATGGTTCGTATTGGCCGAGCAGAAATGATGCACGCAACTGTAAAGAATATTTCTGTTACTGAACTCGCAAAACGAGACATTGAAAAAAATATGACTTGTTCAAGTAGTATTACACCTGACAGTGTCGAAAATGAAAAACTACATCTTGAATCTAAAATGAATGCTCTGAAGAGTCAGCTTTCAACGTCTAATACCATATCTGAAGATTACAGGCAATACATTAAAATGAAACTCGGTGATATGGTTGTGAAATATGAATTATTGAAAAACTGTAGACCACTGAATAATAAGAACGAACGAGAATACATCAGATTACAGCGAGCTGCCGAAAATAGAATTCTTGAACATGCAGATATTATAACATGCACTCTTTCTTCATGTTATACTAATCAAATGGAATCTATCTTTGGTAGCAATAAAAAGAAAATATCCGTATGTATTGTCGACGAAGCTACTCAGAGTTGCGAGGCGGAAACTCTAATACCATTAATGCTAGGTGTAAATATATTGGTTCTAGTTGGTGATCCAAATCAATTACCTGCAACTGTATTAAGTCCGCAAGCAAAGAAATGTGGTCTAGATCAGTCTATATTTTCACGAGTTCAAAATGCTTTTGACTTCCAGCCAAACAATCCAATAATAATGTTAGATACACAGTATCGAATGCAACATGGTATTTCCTACTGGCCAAATAAATTCTTCTACGGTGGAGTTTTAAAAAGTGCAGTAGAAGTAAATCATAAATTTCCATTTTATCCATATCGAATTTTGAACCTTAACACGTATCAAAATGATGACAATTTTTCAAACAATGATGAAGCAAAATTTGTTGCTAATATGATTTTCTCAATGTTAACGTTTTCCAACTTAGACAGTTGGGAATCATGTATTTCGTATGGTATTCTTACACCATATAATAATCAGAAGTCTGTGATTATTGAAAAGATTAATGAAAAGTAAGTTGGAATGTTTGATTTCATTCTTGTACAGTAGTTATTGATATTGGAATTAATTTTGATGATTGTAGGGTATCTTCACTCCCAGAAAATATTAAAAGAAAAGTGAAGTTTGATGTAAATACGGTTGACGGTTTCCAAGGACAAGAGCGTGATGTGATAATTATGTCCTGCGTACGAAGCGAGAGGATTGGCTTTTTATCGGACCGACAAAGACTTTGCGTTGCTCTTACGAGAGCAAAACACAGTTTGATAATATGTGGAAACTTTAATGTCTTTATGGTAAGTGAGAATAACAAGAAAACAAAACGTGTGTGCTAATAAAAAATACTTCTATACAAAGGTTCAATTGCAGAGAGACTTAATGTGGAACTCGTTATTATTGGATGCCAAATCACGCAAGGTATATTTCAATGTTAATGCTAATTCAGGACCTCATGAAATAAAACCTTACATTATTAGGGGCAAAACAAAAAAATGATTGTTTGCACATTCATTGTTAATATCATTATTGTATATTTGTACATCGTAAATTATCATCCTCGTTCTCGTGTGGTTCAAATATGTACATGTATTGTAAATTTTCATTCATTTTTCTATATTTGTTTTATAAATAATAAATTTTTTAAAATAATAGTATTTTGGATGGAAAACGAGAAAAGTACCTATTTCAAGTTTATAGTACTGTTTTCACTATGATTTGAAATTTAAGTTCGATATTTATAAAAATTTTTATTTAAAGTATTCTGCATAAGTTATGATGTTAAATGATGCTAATCGTCATTTTTAGTTAGGGTTAAGATTACGAGTTTAATTTAACTTTTTTTAATTATGTATAAAACTATCATAAATATCGATCCTTGTGGAATGATTCACATGTCAACCGTTCACATAGAGGGCTCAGACATCCTATGACAACAAAGTTTGAATTGGTGTCGTTTATTGCGCATCGATAAATTGCGTATTAAACATCACCTTTGGAGTCAGAAATTCGTGCAAAAATAGTGAGATTAACAACATTTAGATATTTATAACCTTATTTATTTTATTTTCGTAGTATTCAAAGGAATTACGAAAACATTCTAAATTCATTATCACTATGGTCCGTTATCGAAGGATGACACCAGAGGAATATAAATCAAATTGCTCAAACTTTAAAATAATTTATGCTTTTCATTCAACGCCTTTTGGAAAATGCTTACTGGGCATAACTAATACTGATAAAGCTATAGTATATTTAGCATTTGTCGATAAAAGCAATGAAGAAGGACTAACGAAATTACAAGACAACTGGCCTCTATCCGAGTTGATAGAAGACACTAACAATGAAACTGATGAAACTATACAAAAGATATTTAATCATCGAGTATTTGTGGATGATTCAATCTTGGTTGTGTTGAAAGGTACAGAGTTTCAAATAAAAGTCTGGCAATCTTTAATGAATATTCCAGAGGGTACAACTACTACTTATGAGAAAGTTGCTGAAAGTATAGATAAACCAAAAGCTAGTCGAGCAGTTGGAAATGCTGTAATGAAGAACAGTATTGGATATCTTGTGCCATGTCATAGAGTGAAGGGGAAGTCTGGTAGTAGTAAATATGCATGGGGTCCAGAACGTAAAGAAAGTATTCTGATACATGAAAAAAAATACGTGAATACTTAAATTTGTTACGTTGATATCATCTATTATGCTACACTTATTTTATTTTTGTATTTACATGTAATCAACATTGTTCGTTTCAAAAAGAGTAAAATGTATGTATAAACAGTTATAACACATAATTTTTTATTATTTTTGTGTAGTATAATTACACCAATTGATGTACTGCAGACTTTGTATAATATTGTATAAAAAGAAAAATATATTTTTATAAAAAAAGGCAAGTTATGTTTATACATCAAGTATTGAAATACTACACAGAAACATTAAAACATTTGTACGGAGTCTTATAAGTATAGAATATAACTTATAAGTATAGATGTGTATTGTGGCAGGAACACTATGATATTAGGATAAACTTTATACTGATATTGTAGTCCTATGAAATAGTAATATAAATTACACATTTGTAAAATTACATATTTTTATATTTGCTTCTGCATAATGATTGATGTAATAGGTTAATAAAATTTTTATATTTTACATTATTTTATAAAATCTTAAATGTTGCACAATTTAAAAATTTTAGTACATATTTTCATAATAAAACAACTTAAGTTATAAAAACAACGTACTAAAATCAGAAAAGCTAACAGGAGTGAAATTTGGCATCTGACTTGTAATAATTTTATTCACAGTATGACTAAAAAATCTATCTACATTACAAATATTACGTAATTGACATTATACATTACTAAATATGATATCAAGTTATAAATACATATGTATATACATTTATATATAAATATAAAAACAAGTTATAAAAGCATTTTATAAAAGTATCAGTTCACAGGATACTTCATAAAAAATCCTACTATAGTTCCAAGTGTAACACTTGTTGATATTAAGTTTCATGATTGTAGTATTATTATTTGCTATACCAATTTTTGCTCCTTTAAATAAATATCGTTATTATCGCAAAAATTTTGTATACAGTAAAATAGATTTTCTCATGATTTATTTTATGTTTATATATTTTAAAATCTATTATTAAATATTAATATGTATTTTAGTAGAAAATAGAATTTCTTAAGTACAATTTGAAAGCAATCCTAGATGCTTATTTTAAATAATTTGAGGTTTATGTTCCTTTAAAAGTAAGTGGATATATCTTTTAATAGATTACCAGAAACAAAATATTATTATCTACTTTACTATAAAAAGAGACAATTGCATATTCTACTAATGGTAGGCCACTTTATATGATGTACTTTATTCAATCAGTCTCATTGGTCAATTAGTAGTATTATTTATGTCTATCTAATTTACTCAATTTTTTCATGTTTGAATTTTGTTGCATATAGTAGAATTACTACTATTATAGTTAGTGTTACATCAGTAATTGCATTGCATATATTATTAATAATTTAATACAACATTGAAAACAAAAATAGAAAAGTTGCACTAAAGTTAGAAAATATTGGATACTGGTTTCTTTGGATTCTCCTAGCAAAATGCAGTTTCCAGTTTACTATTACTTGTATCTTACAAGGCAGTGTTTGGTGATAGTATAAAAAATACTAAAAATTTATCTACAAAAATATCGAGTGTAAGTATATTTAAAATATAAAATAGATCATAATACTCTTTACTAATATCAGATACAAGTAGTAATAGTCATATTGCTTTTTTTTGATAGTCTCATTCTAAATGGATTCTCTATGTAAAATTTAGTTACACTTTGATATGATTTAAAATCAATTGTTTAGAACCTCTTACGAAGAAGTTTACTGTCATTCTTCTTTTGATCATACCATAATAATGGTATTTTGTCAATTCTATAGAAATATTCATTTGCTAGTTCATTATTTGTTGTTAACGACAGTATGGCTATTCAAATATACACGTAAATATTTCTAAGGGCTGTAATTGCCATTAGAAATATTACAAAACCATAGGACACAGTTGCTCTGCTCGAAGCAAACGATGGAATGTTATTTCCTGATATACTGGGAGTACCTATGTAAACAAAAATGTATAATATTGGTACAAACAACAATGTCGCGGGTATTATTTCATTTTTACCTGATAACCTGGACCGTGGTGTGGTTGTAATTCTCATTATTGGATTATGAGAACTTGGTTTCATTGGAGTTGGTGCTGGACTTGGAGAATTTCCATAACATTGACCTTAAGTTAAATTAATTCATTGTACATTAAAGTTTCAATGTAAGTGGAATATATAATTTAAACAGTTACCTTTCTTATAAAGACGCATTCCTTCTTGTTTTGGATCAATATTTCGCATGCAATGATCTCCTGCTTCTTTGATATATATTTCTTCGTCGTTCACGATTAAACCAACAAAACATTCGTTAGTACTAGTATCGTTTCTCATAGTGTACGTATACATTACACCCTTCTCTTCCCATTGCCCTAAGCATAAGTATGTCCGTTCTGAAATATAAAAAATAATTGTAGAATTTAAGATGATATTTTTTATGCAGAATAATAACGAATTAAACACTTTACCTTCATAAAGTTCACCAGATTCGCAATCGGTAACTTTGAAATACATTATTTCGCGAGTATTACAATTACTACTCAATTCAGCACACATTCCTGATAAGTCAGTTATCATGCCCATATATTGACCAGTGATTGGACACGGGGATTCAACTACACGTTCAACTCCTGATTACACAGATACCATATGTATAATTATTGTATTATTTAAACAATGTGTACAGAAATTGAGGAATACTTACGTGCTTGTGTCATCCAAACTGGTTTATCCAAATTAGGATCATCACACAAGTAAGTTTGGTAAACTGGACTTAATACCATTCCTACAAATATATATAATCTTACTAATCATGTTGTACATTATTTTACACAGTATTGAAATATTAAATACCTATTCTGAATTCTAATACATTTTCACTTCTTTGTCTCATCATCAAACAGACATAAGCAGCTTGCTCACTGAAAAATACACAGACATTAAAGACTGCAAATATAAAAAGTTATTTTAAAACTTTGTTACTTTAAAACTCGTACCATTGATCTTTAGAATAAACAATATAACGACCCGTTTCTTCATTCGAGTCTACTGTAATGAAGGTATAACTGTTGTAGCCATTAAGATCAGTAAAGGTCATAGTCCCATTGACTATGAGAGATTCTTCCCATAAACCTTGTGCCCATTTTGGAAATCTAAATTAATAGTAATTTACATTAAATTGGGACAAATAATTAATGTATTAAAAAGAAGCATGTACTAACGTTGCCACATGAGTCTGTACATAATTTGGCATTTTCTTTTGAGTCGGAATTTTACTAAGTATCAATGTTTCATATCCACTAGTCGAATTATCTAAATCTTGCGTGCAACTCGAGTCGCTGCTAAGTGCCATGTATGTCTTTCCTTTCTTGTTATCTACATGGAACAGCTGAAAAGGATACATATTGAAATAAAAACCAGGAACAAACTACACTATCTTTTTATCTTCAACCTACCCCACATCTGTATTGCGGTCTGCCCTCACTGACTGCATTATTATCCAAAAGAGCAAAGTAAGTGGATCCATTTGGACCAGGCCAGTTCCCCAAACAGTTGAATGTTAAATTTGCTAAAATTATAATGACAATATTTGGTAAATGTGCCTGGAATTTATTATACAAAATGAAAGAGATATTACTGTGAGACTCAAAGGTGCAGCGATTGAAATGCAGCCGCAAAACGGAACCATCAGGACAATTGTTGAAGGAGGATGAAAAGCTGTTGCATTCAATGACCCTTTCAGATCCGTTATTGACACTGTACTTGAAGTGATACTGTCCACTTATGGGACAATATTCGTTGCTGATGGAAACACTCCCAATTTCTTTGGTACCTGTATAAATAATTTATCAATTAAAATTGTTTCAACTAAATTATTTAAATCTGTTAGAAATAAGTAAAACTCACGATATAAAATGGACGTGGAATTTAATTTATCACAGGACGCCAGAGCCGTAGACTCCGAGGTATAACATTTATTCAGATTCTCCGAAAACACTTCTATAACGTTGCGTGATCTCCTGAGCAAACGGAAGCATCGGATGCAGTCGCCATCGCCGTATCTGAAACAAAATAAAGTTTTTATTCTTCGGTTAAATTATGCGCGTTCTTATTCTATTTTCTGTGCATTTCCACAATTATACGTTAGGTTGCAGAAAATATACACTGTCTGGAGTCTGGTCTATTTCTATCCCAGACTGCACACGGAACATCCCTTGAGGATGCGCTGAGTAAGCGAACTTGTTCGTAGAAATGATAATAATTCTAAAGTTCTGTCACTACCTATTTTAGATCAGTGGTTCTCAAGGCTCTCAAGGGATTTTTGGACAACAGTATCAGAAATTAGAATTCATAGTAGATGAATAGATTCGGTTTGATTATTTCCCACGATTGTTTTTACCAAGGTAGAAGCAACCTGATAATGACTAATTCCTAATGTTAATTTTACCTGTCCATTAGCAACACGTTATCGCCGACCCTCCTGTGACAATAACCCCACACAGGTATTGCGTTGAACGTGATGTTGATGGTGGAATATTGAATGGGCTCGCTGCTCGTGTCACCGGCTTCCTTTCCGCTCACCTGTGTCACGAATTCACCCTGAAATTCCGCGGGAAAGTAACAGCCGACCATGAACTGGGGGTCGTAGCCTTGAAGGCCGTCGCTCGTGATCACAGTCGCATCTGTAAATCAAATAACGCAGTCAGCTTCATCATCAGCACACCAACTGATTAATCTCATCAACCCAATTATAATTCTAATCATTTAATCTCTTCATAATTATCAATCTTCAGACTCTCACGTCGCAATACGGAACAATAATAAATTCTTGCAATTAACAGAAAAATTTTTGATTCCTCACTGTGTGCAACAGCGTTAACATCGATAATTTGAGCAGGCATCTACTTTCACAGGACTGATTGTTTCCGTGAAGATCAATAAAAGTGCGAAATGAATTCCCATGAGCCAGGGGTTATGTGAACGACCTTAAACATCCTTTACACGCGATGAAAGCCTCGATTAAATTGTATAACGTCAATGGCCTTTCAGGTAAAAGAAATCAGGCTGTTCAGAAATAAATAACCAGTTTCGATCACTTGATTAAGTATGATCCGATAATTTGCTCGGTTGTTATCGCCGGCAGGGGTGAAAGAGTATCGTCATCGGTAACATTAGCATAGAAAATAAATCGCATTCCAGCTTACTGCCCACATGTCGTGCGCCCAACGATCCATGAATGGTCATTAACGTTGGCATTAAGTGGTTACGAAGGCAGGTGCTACGCCGACAGGTGGACCACCAGGAAACTTTGCAACGTAACATAATACTATCGCTTCTTTGTGATGTATTCCGCTTGTTATCCACTACTTACGTGGCGCAAATCAATTTCCTTTAGTTCAAGCCCAAACTTGCGGATATTTAGATCCAAGTGCAACTCTCAGACAATAACATTCAAACTCAATATAAAATTAATATAATACGAATACAACGTTGGACCTAACTTGCAGAGATTTCAGAACGAACGAACTAGACAAGTTTCAAGGAGGGTGTGAGGAGAATTCGCATCCGAATGTTGATAGTTGGACGTCGTTTAAGTGCACAGAACTCGGAGTGCCATTAAAGGTAACAGAATCCAGGAATGCATGATCTGGAAACTCGACACCGTGACGCAAGCACGAAAGAGCAGCTTAGTTCTCTCTGTCGAATATAATAAAAAGGAATCGTTGAATGACGACGGTCACGTTGGATTCTATTTAACTTGGAGAGGTTGTAGAAGAGGAAGGCGCGGCATGGGATCGACGGCGTTATGAGTTTGGTTCTCAGGAACCTGAGACCACCGAGTTTAGTCCGTATATAATGCACGAAGGAGAACGCGACAAGCACCGCGAGAAGGAATGCGAGGAACAAGCTGCTTTGCTAAGGCATTACGCCCTTTCTCCGCGTATACACGGTACACGTATTGTCTCTTTTCCTTTTATTTCCATCTACCGACACAATTCGTCTCTTTCCTGTTCGGTCACTGGATACATCTTTCTTTCTATTTGGCTTCCATCAGCTGTACACACTCTTCGTTTTAGGATCCATTTTCTCTACATGGTCAAATTTTAATTGGTTCTTAGTCCTTGTTAACATTCAGCGTGTATCGGGAAATTAATGTCAATCGGTTTGAAAGAGAAACATTTAATGGTGCATCTCGCGTGTCGTCGACGACCTTGCATCTAACCATGAATTATAAATCTTCGATCTCTCCCCTTCGTGAGGAATTTATTTTAGATGTTCGATACAGTTCGCGTGACACCACACGCAGATGCTACCTTCTGTCGTATAAATGGATCCTCGAGGGCGATAATGAGTGCAACAAGTGCGGCTGGAAAGCGCTGTGCGCCATAAATTATATGTTTATTTATCCTCCTTGTTGCTGATTTTTCTGACAATACCTGCTTTGCACGGAAGAATACTAAATCGTCGTTTAATCTTCGAAACTGATACAAAATACTTTGTGTCATGTATTCAGTATTTGACGGTGTTTAGGAATATGAACATTATACAATAAATTGCAATTATAATATGTTAATGTTTGACAAAATAGAATTGCAATTATGTTATATTCGCAACGCACTGAAAGGGAGCTGATCAGCCGTAACTTAAAACCCCTAGAACTGATGTACCGCGGTTCAATCTTGATTAGGGCTTGGCTTTTACCTTTCAGGTAGGTACCTACATAACATCGTTACCACGCAGCTTACCATCGTAAACCGGAAACACGCTATTAGCCGGGACTCTTGTTTTACCGTGATCACGTGTTCTTTTATAATTGCTGCGATGCTTTTTGTGTTCATCAGCCTTTTTTCGCGGGGCGTGCATGTATTTGAGGGAAAAGGATTGCGAAAGAATAACAGGTTGTTTAATTGCTAATGCTCGTCAATGTGTAACGTTTCCGTCTGAACTTCTTTCCCGAATAATCAAACAAAGTGCTAAAACAAAGAAATTATTAAATTCATTCTTTAAATAAACGAAAGTTTCTTGCTAAATAATCGTCTCTTCTTCATCTATTGAATAACTAGACGATTGATTGCAACGAGGCATAACGCACGGCTTCACGCTTTCTGAAGCCGGTCTACGAGGTGAAAATCACGAAGAAGAACGAGGTCTTTCGTTTCCTTTTGAACAGCTTCTAAATTGTACCGTTACATTTTTCATGGAATAAATCCCAGACGTAACATTATATAATATTTCTTTACAAGCGCATTTTAACAAATAAAAATAAGCATCCACTGTTTTTACTGGAACACTTAGAAGAGATAAAAATTGAACATCCTGATGTACCAAGAAAATGGTCGACGCTCCACATCCGGTCCTCCGAGGTCAATGCGCCTGCAAAAAGTGACCTTGCTCCTGACGAGACCTCAGGATCTTCTTCGAGCAACATATGGTCTGACAAAGATGATTATAGTTGCTTCATCATCCTCGATACGAAACCGTGATCGATACCTAATTCGATATTGATGGTTTCCCTTTCTTATTAGCAAAAGTATAGCGAACGACGAGAATAGCCGACGAAGCGTGAAAAAAGAGGAAGAGGCTGCTTTGCAATGCCGATCCTCCACAAACTCAGAATTGTTATTCTACGTTCAGTCAACTCTTTTTCTAAATATAATCGGTCGGTTTCCGGTCGTGCCGCAGCCAGACAAGAAGTCGAAAACTATAAATACTTGTCCAAGTAACGTGTACAATCGTACAGGAAATGTACTCGTATAGGAATGTCTCTTCTGTCGATGAATAAACGATTCTTCTGACAAAAACTGAAGATTCACGAACGAAACAGTATTATTTCGATGTAACCAGGTTTATTAGCAGCAATCCCTTCGAGGCGCGAACTTTAACGCCTGTTTCTGTTCCGATCAAAGGGAATACCAGCATGAGAATAAGAACAGAAGCCCGTCTCGACGGGAAATGTCTAAATATAAACTTGGCGAATGGTGATGAAGGGTTCGTTGAACGTCGGAAAAAAGTCAAGAGAGACATATGGTTTGCCAATCTTGAACTATCACAATACCAAAAATAAGGTTCGAAATAAATTTCACGGACACACCTATCCACGAATTTCTTCGCAACACCCACAACCGTTTCTGAACTAGGAGACCATCTTCTTTTCTTTTTCGGCGCTGTCGTGTTCCCTCGTGAATAATCGTCCGTGCACAAAGGAATATCGCTTCGATACAATAGAATGCGACGCCCACGAGAAGCTGGCGAATATTCCATAAGCAGTATCTTCCTTACAGTGACAGAAGACTAGCTTCATCTGAAAAATAATTACCCTTAACGACCGAGCCACCATTTCGTGAAGAAATTGCTCCTCGAATGACCAAGGTGCACTACGGACCAGAGAAAGCGAGCTAGATTTCAGTCATTACGACGCAGCTGACACGCAAGGGCTTCGACGTTTCGATAGGCGGAACGTGCCCGAACATATGTCATACGTGGAACAACCGGATATTCCTTTGCGTCCTCCCGCATTTTCGATGCTTCTTTCCTTTTTGTCGCGATGGGCTTCGCGACGCTGGTCCTTGTGGAACCTTGTCCTCGCATGGCAGGCTGAGCAGGTGTGATCACGTGTCATTTGGGGACAGATGGACTCTAGCACGCTTCCTGCACTTTCTCGTTTTCGTGAACACGGAACGCAGGAAATACTTTTCAAGTCAGTGGATCGCGGGTGGACCGAGAATGGATCGGTGGATCGTGAATGGGTCAAATTATCTGATCAAACTAAAAGTAAACACTCGGTAAACTCAGATTAACGTTCAGTTTGCGGGATATTACAAATACGTGGCCTCCTTAAGATAGGTCTACTTAAGATTCAACTCGGAAAATGTAAGTTCAGATTAATGAGTTTGTCGAAGAAATCCGCGTCTGTAAATGAGATTCAACTAATTGGTAGTGTGTATAATGGCAAAGTAATTGCGACACGATACACATTAAATAAGACGGATCGCCCTGGAATTTTAATGGATATCTGCACGGCGTTTCCTGCATGTCAGCGACGACTTCCAAAGCGTTCTAGCGGAGCTCTTTTCTTTTAGTGCGCGCTTTAACGATGCAGTTCACGGCTGCGATTACTCAACCGGCGTTAGTTATATTTAAAGCCGTTAATTGGTCCCGTGAATCACGATAGACGCGATCGGATCGACGCAGTCAAAACGCGCAATTATTTTTGGGACGAAGCTCGGTTGAACGACCCTGTAGATCTCTTTATTTGTAGACAAGTTTATTCTTATAAAAATTTATTCTTATAAAAGTTTATTATTATAGAAGCTCATTATTATAGAGTTTACTCAGATGTTTGTTTAGTAGAATATTATGTTTGCTTTGATTTTGCATAAAGATCTCTACAAAATTGTAGAACGGAACACAATCTAAGAAATGTACACCATGACTGTTTCTCCCATAGAACATGTACCTTTTGTCTAACGACAGGGCTGTGAACCACGTTTATATACTACATAAACAGGGTGGATACTGTTCCATACGGCGCACACGAGGTATCTGAACCGAGAGGATCCAAACTTGACAAAACGTTAGCATTGTTTTGTTGGACCTTGTGCACTTCTGCAAATTTGCATCGATAACCTTCACGGTAATCAACCTGATAACTTGTTTTCGAACAATTGGAGCTGTTCGATTC